AGAATGTCGCTCAAAAATTATACAGCACTGCATCCACACTTTAACTAATACTCTATAAAATTTTCATATCGATTGGTTATCCCTGCATGAATTATGGCTGTTAGATTAAAACATCGAAACTTGGGTGTTATGGAACTATATATTGGACCGGTTCGTTTTGGAAAAATTTTTTTTAATTTTGAAAGCACCAGTAAAATCCTTTAGTTAAACTAAAAACATGAAGTTTGCCGTCGTTTACCTGGTGTGGCTAGGTGCCCTGAATAGCTATCGATAGCTTTTTGAAATTAATAAACGTAGTGCAAAAAGTGGACAGCATCACTTAATAAGATTTTATTTGCCTACTGTGCTCTGAGGGTAAAATCAATATTAATAAGAAGTTTTCTTACGTAATTTTTTATGTAGAATCGATCCCCGTCGTTATTTTTGACCTAGGAGTACGATAACATCGAAAAAACGTATTTTTTCGATTTTTTTTTCATAAATTTCGAAAAGTTCATGTTCGAGGGAGTGTCAAATGCACAAAAAAATCTAGAAAGCTTTTTGACGCCACCAAAATCTAGGATTTTTCACGAAGAATCCAACGGTATACATGAGTATATACTTTAAAATTATTTACATACAAAAAAACGACGTTATCCCCAAAAACGGCATTACGAAAAATTGAAAAATCGGAAAGTGTATTAGTTTCTTCCAGGAAACCCCTAGGTAGAATCAACTATGGAAAAGATTGCATGAAACTATCTGATAGGTTTTTGTCTCACTTTTCCAACGCTGGTTTCAGAAGTTAAAAATTCGCATGCATCGCTGAGATACAGCGGTTTTTGTACGATGAATTTTTTACGAGGATCGATTCTACATAAAAAATTACGTAAGAAAGATTTTACCCTCAGAGCACAGTAGGCAAATAAAATCTTATTTAGCGATGCTGTCCAGTTTTTGCACTACGTTTTTTAACTTCAAAAAGCCATCGACAGCTATTCAGGGCCCCTAGCGACACCAGGTTCATGTTTTTATTTTAACCATATCATTTCGTAGATGGTCGGAATATCTATACGTAAACTTTATTTTGATTTATACAATTATTTTCACTTTGCCACTTGCAGATTTAAGGATCAAGGTAGGCTCGCCATCTAGCGGCGTAGGCATAAATTAGTGGTATTATCGTGTTAAAAAACTGGTCTATACTTTTTGAAACATTAAAATAGTATTTACCTGAATATTTTTGAACATAATTGTAACAGAAAAATCACCAAAAACAGATTAATTAATCGCACTGTGTATGGCCATTTTTTTAACGGTAACTTTTAGTTCTAAAGTAATGGTTAATGTTGAGCATTTCTATCAGGGAAGTGAGGTATGGCATTCAGTTTCTTTTATTATACATAGTCGCTGCTGCTGTTGCTCGCAAAGTCAGAGTTATTACATTCATGAAAAATCAACAAACGTGACTCGCGGCTCAAGTTGTTCGATTGTTTTTTCGAGTGTGATAAATTAAAAACGCAATTTGCAGAGGACCAATTAGTCTTGTGCTGCTCGTACCAGGCGATTACATAAAAAAAAAAAAAAAAAAAACNAAAAAAAAAAAAAAAAAAAACGCGATGAAAAGGCCGAGAGAGCCGCGTGGCTCGCTATTATATGGCTTATCTTGTCGCGCAAAGTATACAAATCGCGTCACACACAAACACACACACACGTACACCGAGGCGCTGCCGTACCATCGCGTGTGTGACATAATACACAATTTGTAATTATTTAAACATTACTAACGCGCGCGGGCACGCAGACACACACGCGAGCAGCCGCGAAATGTCTGTCAGCAGTTTAAGAAAAATCACCTTTTGCAAATTGTGCCGCCGCCGAGTGATGATATAAAATATGTAGCGCGTGTGTGTCTGTGTGCTCGGACACGACACATGCCGGAAGAAAATCACGGAAATAAAATGAATGAAATTGCTCGCGGTTGCAGCAGCAGCAGCATCTGCACCCCTTGCGCGGATTTATTTTTTGCCCAACGATATACGTATGCGTCGTATTTTTTTTATGGATATTACTATAGTTATTGTCCTTTTTTTTAACGTTGAATTACTACAGTTACGTTACACGAGTATACTTAAAAAAAAAAAATTGGCTCGTAGCTCGACGTTCGCTTACGAGTAGCAGTAGTAACGTGTCTTCCTCATTAAGGTCGATCTTTTGTGACAAGTATGTAAACACAGACTGCCCTTCATGCATTCGAGTTCCGACGTCGACTCACTTTTTTTAAACTTCTCTTGAACTTATGAATCCGGATGGGCATAAAATTTGAACTACGTTGTGTCCTGTGCTTGACTTTAAACGTGTCAAAGTTTATTTGTCATTTATAGTGTTTTTTTTTATTCTAGAATGAGTCACTCCGTGCTCTAATTTTGCGTTTCAGCTTTTTTATTTTTTCTTAATTTTTTATATTCTGATCAAAATGTTATGAAATTGTATTCGATATAAAAATTGTAATAAAAAAGGATACGTAACTCAATAATTAATTACCAATAATGTAGAAATAAATGACCCGATCATCCTAGATCGTGCTGAATGTGGTACAAGGTAGTTTAAATCATCCAGAATGATCGTAATATATTTAATCTTTTAATTACACAATACTCTGCGAATCGAATGCCATTAGCGAGTCCGGTTGATCGGACGACCATTGACATCTCTGACCAGCAGTAACATATGTTTCGCACAACGGTTCTCCCGAAAAAATGCCAAGCTATTAATCTAGATCTTTTACCCTCTCGATGCGAGTGCAAGTTTCGTCGCGTGAAACTTCGACGGATGTTTCGTCGACCGGAGACGTGGGCGTGAAGAGCAGCAGAAAGAAAAATAAAACAAAAAAAGCATTAGACAGAGAGAAAATAAAGGGAAAAAGTTCTGCGTCATACGGATACGAGATAGCTTTTTAAATTTTATTAGCAAGGTAAAATTTAATTTTGAACTATTTCATTACCGAAAATATCCAAATAAGAAGATATTACCAAAATATTTGCATGTTGGTATCTACCTTACCCTAAATTACACGAACCTGATTATGATAATATTCTTATATACCTCATATATCTTACGTCGATGACAAGCTTCTTGTGGGATTGACCTATCTGCTTCAGCCATCTAGCGGCAGAAGAGAAAGTTCAAGAGAGTATACGGTTGAGCTACATAAATATTAAGGCAGGAATAATACATAAACATAGTTTCCTCGCTTAAAACATGATATAACTAATAAATCTTAAAAATTTCTTGAGGTTTTGCGAAGACCGCAGTCAATATTCTAGAGAAAGAGTCACTAGTCCCGAATTTTTTAGCCTAAAATGATCCTGCTGTACAACAGCATCTCACACACATACACTCAACCCATAACGAACAAAATTGTGTACAAAGACAACGCCTCTGCGCGTGCAGATCTCTATGCATACCTTTCGCATCCTCCAAACCCAGAGAAAAGCAAATTAGAGTTATACAGCTGTCCGTAGAGAATTATTACGAGTCTCTCTCTCTCCCTCTTGGAGAGAGAGAACTTTAAAGCACAGAAACGAGAGGGAGAGAGAGAAAGAGAGCGAGGCAAATGTAATATACAATGTTATGGTCCTCTCTCTCTCGTCGGTAGTTGTGTGAGGCGCGATTCGGCGCGGTCATAGTCACTGGTACATAATATACTTTCATGCCCATGCCGCTGTTATACCGCTACAACGACGTGCGTAACGACCCACCACCACCGCCGCCGACTCGACTCTTCCGCGCGCGCGAGCCTCAGCAATCCCTATGATTTTAATCAGAGCGAGTTCATTCGCGAAACTTTATCGCACAAAGAAGTATATGTACGCGCGGTACGAGATTTATTAATGTATTACCGAGAATTGGCTGCAATTTGGGGTAGGTCTTGCTGCTGCTGCATTGTAATTCTACGCGCACGGGCGGCTATATATATCGATGTAATACAGTTATATATCGCACGCGGGAATATAAAGTCCGAGATTGCGGCAACCCGATAATTTTCTCGAATCCAGAAATTGAATCAAAAGTTCAGGTGGAAATCGAGCTAGAAAATTTCACGGAAACAAGGGCTGATCGTGTATAAATCCACTGCATTTTTGATGCACTTAAATTTTCGGCATAACGCGTGGACTATGCCGAGTGTGTATACGCGATATAACGCAACCAAAACACGGATTATGATAATTAACGTGGAACAACTGCATTTAAACACACGCCGCATTACTCGCGCACTCGCTCGCAGACGCGCATCGGAAATAGCAAAGTACACACGCGAGTGCGTATTATATACATATTATTATTCTCGCAAATCACGTGCACGCACGACAGATATAGTCGCTCGCTGCAGTGGTCGTGTTTTGTCAGTCGAGCATTTTTCGATTCTTTTTCTCGGCCCTTTTAAAAATAGCATTCGGCGCAGCGGCCTATGAGTGTTGGATATATAAATGAGGCGCAAACGCGTTTGTCTGTGTATACAAATTACAAACACGATGAGTCGATCTGCATACGTATTACGACGAATAATATAACGATGATATGATTTGAATGAGTGATTTTTCGCATGGCCCGGAAAGTTTTCGCTCATTTTCCATATACATATACCTCACGATACGATACACACGTTTTCTTTTTCTAGTTTATAGTATTTGGCCTTTCGTAATATAATAATGCAGATGCGCCGAAGGAACATAGATAATGATCGAGAAAAGTGTGCTTTTACGTAACGCGCGCTCTGCGTTGGCGCTCTTTGCGTGAAATATTTCTTGGCTTTTGTCCCCAAAAGATTGCATAATTTTCAGTTCATTTTTTCGCCTACGTTTTCCAATACGTACAATGCACATTCCCTGGTAGAAATGCTCGACATTGATATAGTGACCTAATAGTTTCAAAAAATTACCGTTCAAACTGTTTTAAAATCTATAACCATTGATTAGTCTATTTTTGACGATTTTTCCGTTGCAATTGTGTTATGCATTTTAACCGCGTTTTAAATGACCCTGAAAATTCAATTGCTTCAAAAAATTGTAGAACGATTTTTCGCTATAATACAGTGATACTACTTTAACACTTCACCACTAGATGGCGAGTACCTTGATTCTGTAAATCTGCAAGTGGTAAAGCAAACATAATTGTATAAGCACTTGTATATAAGCAACGAAGATTAACACATTCAGCCCCTCGAGTTTCAGAAACTTTCTGCCATAAAACGCGTCGCTCGGAATTCCACGATTTCGTTGTGTCGAACTAATATAAGTGTCTATAATGGCCAAATCGCTGACTTACGTCGATATGCCCACATAAACGTACACTTACACAAACGCATAAGTACGTATAAGCTACGTTCGTATGATTCGATATCGCAACGTTGATTTTCGCGCGCGTGAAAATCTCAATTTACGCCTCGAGACGCAGAAAATGTCAAACGATCGGCAATTGCACTATTTACTTACTGTGCTTTTTCGGAATCTCGCGCGCGCGCACACGTGCGAGTAAACACGAAATTTTTATTGTTTTTTTTTTTCGTTTCTTTTTTCGACAACAATAAGCACACGCGAGCGCAGTTTATTTGCGGCGCGCGCAGAGTGCAAAATTTTTACCCAAGAGAGTTCAGTGCCAAAAGTCGCTTGTACGTATATTATACACACACGCGCGCGCGCGGATCTATATATTTTTCTCCCAAGCTCGGTTTAGACAATCACGGCCACGATAAAAAACACAGCACGCGTATACGTGTGTAACGAGCTCGAGAACTAAATATAATTCAATAAAAACAAAGTTTTATCCTCGTCGCTCTCCTCGGTTATTATTACTATTTTTTCTTCCTTCCTTCGCGCGCTCGAGGACGTAATTCCATGAGCTAGTATATCGATGGAGGGTCGAGGCAAGGGTGAATCATGGTTAAAGTACAATTCGAATATTTTACTTACCGAAGTAGACGACGAAGACGACGACGACGAGCAAAAACGATTTCTGGTTATATCTCGTTTGTGGCTCTCTTCGATTCTACTTCTTCTTCTTCTAATCAACGTGGACACATTATTCGATCAACATTTTATTCCTCGCGGAAAGACGACACTGCGATGGCATATTATCGTGGAAAATTCAGCGCGCATCGCATCGCGTGGGTGTACACAAAGTCCGATATAAAAATCGCGAGCACACGCAGTTTCGCCGGTGGTTGCGGGGGAAGTCCTCGCAAGAGAAATAAAAGGGTTTATACCGAGCTAAAAAACTGCTTTTGAAAGCTTTTCTCTCTCTCTTTCTCTATGTAAAAAAGACGCGACGTCGTCGTCGTCGTGAACGAGCACACGACGTATACATACACAGCACGCGAAACGAAGGTCGTGCTCTTGCACATAAGCAGAAACGCGTACTGCCTTCTCTCGCTCTCTGCTTAGCTCGGGAATTTTCTTCTCGACTATATACGTATACACGCGTGTCCGTGCATGTGTACGTTATAAATATATGCGCGCGTGTGTGCGAGCGAAGATACCTCGCGGCGTGTGTACTGCACACATACATGTGCACATGCAAACGCGCACACACGTGTTCGCGCGCTGACCGATTTATCGACCGGTGGTTCAGCAGTAAACCGACGACGGCGACGACGATCTCGTTGATCATTCGAGATTCGCTGCGCTCGTGTGTGCGTACATAAATTGTATACTCTCACGCATTTCGCGAATGATCTATCGATGTGGAGCAGCAGCAGCGGGGTGATTTCGCGCAGCGCGAAAAAAAAGGGAGATGTTTCAGTGTTTCGCGGGAGTATATATATCTAGTGCAGTCTGTGATTTGTGAGGACCAGAAAGAAAAAAATACACTCGCTACGTACTCTACTCCTATGTACGAACTTTATTAAAATTTTAATTTTTGGATTGTCTCTGGTGGAATTTAAAATTTTATGTCTAATTTTTAGTCGGTTAAATTGATATTCAGACATTAAAGAGATATTACAACTGAATACGTACTTATCGAAAGTGTAATGTTTTTTTTTGCAATATTTTATAGCCTTTTAAAATTCCACATTTGTTTGATTACCATTTTTTAGTTTTATAAAATTCTTGTAAATCATTAATTAAACACTCGTTCAATGGAACGAGAAAAGTAATTACTTCGCAATATATTCCAAAATAAAGCACCACCTTGACAATGAACAAAGTTGTAATGATACCAGTCAGTTCAAATAAAATACGATCGTATTAGAACAATTTTTATTAAAATTGTAGAAAAAGGTCCATATAATTGTGAAGAAAGAAACATTATTTCACCGATAGTTAAATGTCTACAATTATGTACGAGACTTATATGTAGACAAAAAATTATTTATGAAACTTATCATGTAATGTGAGACTGGAGGAATTTCGCATATTCAAATGTAGTCTTGTCGGACTTCAAGAATCGTCTGTGAATGATTTTCGTGCACTGCCATTTGGTGCCTGGTCAAATTCACTTTTTGAGAAAATTTTTTCTCGCACTTGTCACATAGGAAATCTTTGAGACCTTCATGGATTGTTTTTTGATGCTGGATCAAATTGGCCCGTTCCCCAAATTTTTTCTCGCATTTTTCACATGCGAAATCTTTCCGTCCTTCATGTATTATTTTCTTGTGACTGATCATATGCTGTTTATGTCCAAATTTCTTTTCACATTTGTCGCATGCGTAATTTTTACGACCCTCGTGGACTGTCCTTTGGTGACGGAGCAATTGCGAGTTGTGTCCGTATTTCTTGTCGCACTTGTTGCATGCATAATCTTTGCGACCTTCGTGGACTGTCCTTTGGTGCTTCAATAAATATGCATTACTTCCAAATTTTTTCTCGCACTTGTCGCAAACAAAATCCTTACAATCTTCATGGACTGTCTTTTGATGGTAGAGCAAATTCAATTTTTGCCCAAATTTTTTCTCGCAGTTATTGCAAGCAAAATCTCTGCGGCCTTCATGAACTACTTTTTGATGCCTGGTCAAATCCACTCTTCGACCAAATTTTTTCTCGCACTTTTCGCACGGGACATCTTTGCGTCTGTCATGGACTATTTTTTGGTGATCGATCAAATTTTTTTTATGTCCAAATTTTTTCTCGCATTTATCGCAAGCGAAATCTTTGCGACCTTCGTGGATTGTCTTTTGATGGCAGAGCAAAGTCGCTTTTCGCCCAAATTTTTTCTCGCAGTTATTGCATGCAAAATCTCTTCGCCCTTCATGGACTGTCTTTTGGTGCTTAATCAATTGCGATTTTTGTCCAAATTTCTGTTCGCACGCTTTGCAAAAGAAGTCTCTCCGGCCCTCGTGGACTGTATTCTTGTGACTGAGCAAATTTTTTTTTATTCCAAATTTTTTTTCGCACTTGTCGCATGCGTAATCTTTGCGAAGTTCGTGAACTATTTGTTGATGTTTTTTTAAATTTGTTCGATCCCCAAATTTCTTTTCGCAATTTTCGCATGAATAATCTCTGCAACCTTCATGTACTATTCTATGGTGCTTCAACAATTCCGATTTTCTTCTATATTTCTTCTCGCATTTATCACATGCATGATCTTTGCCACCGTCATGAATTGTCTTTAGGTGGGTGAGCAAATGCAGTTTTTGTGTGAATTTGTTTTCGCATTTCCTACATGAAAAATCTCTGCGAATTTCATGGACTGTTCTTATATGCAAGAGGAAATGACATTTTTGTCTAAATGTCTTTCCGCAACTATCACATGAATAATCATTGACGACACTGGAGCCGAAATCTCTCCGACCTTCGTGAACTGTTTTTAGGTGACGGAGAAAAATTGATTTGCTTATAAAGTTCTCCTCGCACTTGTCACATGCAACATTTTTGCAATGTTCATGGACAGCTTTTATGTGCAAAAGCAAACTTTTTTTATTTCCAAATTTCTTGGCGCACTTTTCACATAAGTAATCTTTAAAAACTTCGTGAAATATTTTTTTGTGCTTGAGTAAAGCTAATTTACTTTCAAATTTCCTCTCGCACTTGTTGCACGTGAAATTTTCTTGATCTTTGTGTACCAATTTTTGATGCGTAAATAAACTTGATTTTTTCACATATATCTTCTCGCACCTGTCGCATGCAAAATCTTTGCGGCATTTATGTTCTAATATTTGGTGTCTACTCAAATGACTCCGAAAGTCGAATTTATTTTCGCACTTGTCACAAGCATATTCTTTTCCTTCATTATGAATGGTGTCTCGGTGTGTTATCAAGCTTAATCCCAGTGTAAATGCCTCCTGGCAAATATCACAAACGTATTTTTTGCCGTCTAAAACAACATTATAACGTCCACATACATTAGTTTCGGAAATAAATTCCTCAGATATCTTTTCACTTTTATCCATTTGAGATCCGAATGAATCGACGGACCCTTATATTTAGTGCCACGTAAATTAAATGAGTGAAATTTATCTTTTCGTATTATGCCTTGCTTTGTTGGGAAAGACAACATTTAAACTAATTTGTTTTCACTATATACATGATGAGTGTGTCAAGAAATAATTTTAAAGTAGTTTATGATTATATTGTTTACAATTAAATTACCGATTTATCTGTTTATACATTCTCTTTACAATATTTGAACAATTTTAAAATCTAATTAAATGATGATTTTTTCGGAGAATTCTTTTGTAGATCATACTGTGACTTATTCGAATATTTTTACTTCGCCACTTGCAGTTTTATACAATTGTTATGGATTTTCTCGTTGCTTTCATGAACAAGTGCTAGACCCGTGTTTAAGCAGTGTCGATGATTAACAATTATCGGACACATAAGGCCTTACGACAGGTGTTTTATGCATTGCATACAAGGCGTACGTAACACTATAAGATTTAGGCCCAAGTGTCGACGTTATGTTCCGAAGTCTCATGTGCGCAGCGTATTGGTCGGTAACATAAGTAGCGCTTTTTCGGAGTCAGTTGTCGGGGAACGAAGGTTGTTTATCTCGCGTATATTGTTTTGCTCCGGTTCTTGCTTTTATCTTCCTCTGTAATATGACTTTGAATAAAATAACATTATTTCTCCAGCATTAACAAAAATAGTGGATTAAAAAAAGTCCAACCCCCATGCATACGTTCATGGCCCATCAGACAGTTGAATTTTTGAAACTTCGGGATATTTCATTCACAAATTATCATTCGAAGTTTTAAACTAAACGTGAAAAAAACTTTTGGCTCGTCGTTGTACGAAACGCTGCAGGAATCAAGTAGCCCATAAAATGTATGGCGAGGGTTTTTTTTTGGCAGTACATGAAATTTTGTCTGATTCGAAATTAAAGCATCATCTGAACAGTGAAAAAGGTATGATAGTAGATTACGAATGTACGAGACCAAGGTAATTCACAATCATTTTGGCACAATTTTTATTGAAATATTAGAAAAACATCTGTACAAGTTTTATATATTTTACAATTGTCCAGAAAAAAACATTATTTCATCGATGAGATACTGACTGCAATACGTACAAGATATTTGTATAAACAATAAGATATTTATAAAAACTTATCATATGATGTGAAATTGGAGGAATTTCGCTTAGTTGCGATTATGTCGGTCATATTGAATATTTTTCCGTACATCTTTCTGCATTTTGAAACGTAGTCTTGTCAAACTTCGAGAATCGTTCATGAATAATCTTCGTGCACTGCTTTTTGATGCCTGATCAAATTCACTTTATGAGCAAATTTTTTCTCGCACTTGTCACATAGGAAATCTTTAAGACCTTCATGGATTGTTTTTTGATGTCGGATCAAATTGGCTCGTTCCCCAAATTTTTTCTCGCATTTTTCACAAGCGTAATCTCTCCGACCTTCGTGTATTATTTTCTTGTGACTAACCAGAAGCTGTTTTTGTCCAAATTTCTTCTCGCATTTGTTACATGCGTAATCTTTCCGGCCTTCGTGTACAGTTCTTTAGTGTATCAAAAGTGCTGATTTTTTTCCAAATTTCGTCTCACACGTGTCACATGCAAAATCTTTAAAATGTTCGTGTACTGTTTTTTGGTGAAAAACCAAGGTCGACTTGTGTCCAAATTTTTTTTCACATTGGTCACATGCGTGATCTTTGCGACCCTCGTGGATTGTTCTTAGGTGGGCGAGCCAATGCGGTTTTTGTGTAAATTTCTTTTCGCACTTATCACATGTGTAATCTTTACGACCCTCGTGGACCGTTCTTTGGTGGAAATGCAAATGCGATTTTTGTCCGTATTTCTTGTCGCACTTGTCGCATGCGTAATCTTTGCGACCTTCGTGAACTGTTCTTATATGTAAAAGTAAATGACATCTTTTTTCGAATTTTTTTCCACAAGTGTCGCATAAGTAATCTCTGAAGACACTGACGGCAAAATATCTTGGACCTTCGTGAACTGTCTTAAGGTGGAAGAGCAAATGAGATTTTTGTTTACAGTTCTCCTCGCATGCAAAAGTTTCGCAATCCTCATGGACATTTTGTATATGCAAAAGCAAACTTTGTTTATTTCCAAATCTCTTGGCGCACTTTTCACATAAGTAATCTTTGAAAACTTCATGGAATATTTTATTGTGCTTGTATAAAGATAATTTATTTTCAAATTTCTTCTCACACTTGTTACAAGTGAAATTTTTGTGATCTTTGTGTATTAATTTTTGGTGCGTAAATAAACTCGTTTTTTTCACAAATTTCTTCTCGCACCTGTCGCATGCAAAATCTTTGCGGCATTTATGTTCTAATATTTGGTGTCTACTCAAATGACTCCGAAAGTCGAATTTATTTTCGCAATTGTCACAAGCATATTCTTTTTCTTCATTATGAATGGTGTCTCGTTGTACTATCATGCTTGATTTCAGTGTAAATGTCTTCTGACAAATATCATCAATGTTTTGTTTGTCGTTCGGAACAACAATGTCGTGTTCAATTAAATTATCTTTTGAGAGAACTTCCACGGAGATCTTTCCACTTTTATCCATTTTAGATTTGAATGAAACGTATTAAATGGACCCTTGTATTTAGTGCCACAAAAATTAAATGAGTAAAATGTATCTTTTGGGACTATTATAGCTTGTATCATCGGGAAACACAACATTCAAACTAATTTTTGTTCACGATAATAATGATCAGTGTGTCAAGGAATGGTATGAAAGTAGTTTATGATTATATTGTTTACAATTAAGTTTCCGATTTGTCTGTTCGTACACTTTCTTTACAATATTTAATAGTTTTAAAATCAAATTTAATGAAGATTTTTTTGACGAATTCTTTTGAAACCCATACTTTGATTAATTCAAATTTTTTTTTCGTCACTTGCAGTTTTACGAAATAGTGAATTTAAAAAATCTATTCACTTGCTACTCAGGCAGTTGACTCTCGAAAACTCGTAAATTTTTAATTATCATTCACAGTTTTGAACAAAACACAAAAAAAATGTTGGCTGATCTTTGCAGGAAGAGCTGCACGAATGTACTAGCCCAACATTTTTACGGATCAGAGAAGCTTTTTTTGTTGTATGTGAAATTTTGTATCATTCCGAAATGAAGCACCATCCAGTGAAAAAAGTAAAATGATAATTGCGAATACAAGAGACTCCGGCAATACATGTTTTTTATTGAAATTTAAAAAAAATGCCTAAATAAAAATTTTTACATACTAACGATTGTCCACAATAAAAAATTAGCACTTTTCATTATTTCAACGATGAGATACTGACTCTCCCATACGTTCGAGACATTTGTCTAAACTTTACAATATTTATAAAAACTTGAAAATCTTTTGACATAAGATTGAATATAATTTTAGTTATTTGCAATTGTAGTGGTCAAATTAGTATACCTTTTCGCATCTTTAAATGAAAAAATTTACGAACCAATCAAATCTCAGGAATCAAGTTGCATTTGTTTGCAAAAATTTTATCGTGTACATCACATATATATCGAACTTCAGAATCTTTCTTAATGATTTTTGTGAACTGTTCTTTGGTGCTTCAACATAACTGATTTAGTTCCAAATTTCTTCTCGCACTTATCGCAAGCGAAATCCTTGCGACCTTCATGAACTGTTTTTTGATGTGTTTTTAAATTCCATCGAACCCCAAATTTCTTTCCGCATTGCTCGCATGCATAATCTTTACGACCTTCGTGTATTGCCCTTTGGTGTTTGAGAAAATTGCTTCGATGCCCAAATTTTTTCTCGCACTTGTCACATGCAAAATCTTTTCGACCCTCGTGCACTGTTAATTGGTGTCTGATCAAATCGGTTTTTATTCCAAATTTTTTCCCGCACTTGTCGCATGCAAAATCTTTTCGACCCTCATGGACAGTTAATTGGTGTCTGATCAAATCGGTTTTTATTCCAAATTTTTTCCCGCACTTGTCACATGCCGAATCTTTTCGACCCTCATGGACTGTCCTTTGATGTTTCAACAAATCTGCTTTGTGTCCAAATTTTTTCTCGCACCTGTCGCATGTGAAATCTCTCACACCTTCGTGAATTGTCCTTTGGTGATAGGTTAAAAGCTGTTTATGTCCGTATTTCTTACCGCATTTGTCGCATGCAAAATCTTTTCGACCCTCGTGGACTGTTCTTTGGTGTCTGATCAAATCAGTTTTTATTCCAAATTTTTTTTCGCACTTGTCGCATGCGTAGTCTTTGCGACCTTCATGAATTGATTGTTGGTGTCTGTATAAATGCGATTTGAGCCCAAATTTCTTTTCGCATTTGTCACATGCAAAATCTTTGTTACCTTCGTGAACTATCTTTTGGTGGGAGATCAAATTTGATTTTTGCGTAAATTTATTTTCGCACTTATCACATGCGTAAGCTATGCGAACTTCGTGTGATATCTTTTGGTGGATGAGCAGATACTGTTTATAGCCGAACTTCTTTTCGCACTTGTCGCATGCGTAGTCTTTGCGGCCTTCATGAACTGTTCTGTGGTGCACACGCAA